GTGGCTTGATGTACCATCGTTGTAATTGCATATAAAACACCGTTTCAAATCCTAATAAAAGCTTTCAGGCCAAAGAGATCTCCTTAATCAATTAAAAAAAAAAAAGAAATTACACTATTTTTGGACTTTGTGTTAATAATGATGTTTACTAAGAAAATTCCTGTCTATTTAATTTTTATTGCCATGTGCTCTGTTATATATGTTATCAGACAGCAACTTACTGCAGAACTTGATGCATGTATAGAAAGATTAACTGCGGATCTTACATCACAAGATACCACAATTGTGGTCAAGGAACAGAGAATCCTGACAATAGTAATTAAAACTATTAATGAAATCACCACCAATTATGAATTACTTCATGACCAGTTGGACCATTTAACTAAGACAAGTTTTGTATTATCATTAATATCTGAACAATTTGTTGGCTCATTCGTACCTATGTCTAATTTTTCCTGAAGATCTTCTGGTTTTTCTTCAGGATCTTCTGATTCTTCTCTGGTTCTTCCAGTAATTCAAGCCAATTATCATTTTCTGATATTACTTCAACAGCCAGAAATCACTTTAAAATTATTTTTGATAAAATCATAACAAAAAATAATTATTCTTTAGATGATATATGTAATATTGTATCTGTTAAGATTCATAGTTTTGGGATAGGAAAGATTAATAAGGAAACTATAAAAAATTTTTATTATAATAATGGTAATTTTAGAGGTAGTACTTTAAATAAAATAGGTGCTTGGATAGATAGTAAAAATAATATTAACTTCTAATAATACAGAGTAGCGGGAAGGAACTCTTATTTTATGAGTTAGGGTTCAAGAAATTTCTCCCTTTAAACATCTGCTACTTCAATATTTATTTTTTTCATTATATCAGCCTGCCCATATAAAATAATAAAGTTATATATATTATTACTTTATTTTTAAATATGTTCACTCGGAATAAATTCAAAATTCCATATGGGGCTTATCATTTTATGCATAATTTGTTTGTAAGACAGGGCACAAAGTGCTACTAAGACCCTAATGTAACCAATCTAAAAAATTTCGCTAGTCATGTGATAGGTTGATCAACTACTAAATTAGGTTTTTTATTTTTTTATTTTTTTAGCGCGATAATTTTTTTTGCGTCGTTTTTTTGGAGCTTCTTTTTTCGGTCGCTTTTTCAGCACTTCTTTCGTCACTTTCGGTGATTTTTTGGCGCTTTTTCGTCATTCTTTTGGAGTTTTCTGTCGTTCTCTGTCGTTCTCTGTCGTTCTTGTTTAATTTTTTTCATGTCGTTTTTTTGGAGCTTCTTTTTTCAGTCACTTTTTCAGAACTTCTTTCATCACTTTTCGGTAATTTTTTGGTGCTCTTTCGTCATTCTTTTGGAGTTTTCTGTCATTATTCGTCGTTCTTTTAGTAGTTTTTTGGTTCTTAATACTTTTTCTCAGACTTTTTTTTTTTTAGGTCAACATTTTTTTTTGTTGTTTTTTTCACTTTTTCGGTGCTTCTTTCACCACTTTTTTTATTATTCTTTTAGTGGTCTATTCGTCATTCCTTCAGTGATTCATTTTACTGAGAATTTGACGGTGTAGTTTGGGTTGGGTTAGGGTTAGTTGCACACCTACAAAAGTTGTTTTCTCTTGTAATTTTTACTGAGAATTCAATGTTGTAATTTGGGGTTGGGTTAGGGTTAGGGTTAGGAATAAATTTTCTATTAGGAAAATTTTAAAAGAAGCATTTAATTAGGCCGCGGAGGATAGTTTCTTAATAGTTATTTATATTTTTTTTTGTAAAAAGTAGCTATTGTTAATTTTAATAAATAAAGAAATTTTTTTTTTTTTATTAATAAAAATTAATTTTAAACGTATAATTTTTTTTTTTTTTTTTAAAAAAAAAATATCTTAACGGTATCGTAGTTGTTAGCGTTAAGAAAAAAATTTTGATTGGCAACACATGATAAGCGAAATTTTTTAGGTTGGTAGCGCTAGGCAGTGTTGTATATTTTAGATGTCTGAGCCTTTTTGAACTGTCCGGCGGACTTTCCGAATCTCATCTGGCTTACAAATCTAATCTTAAAAATACACTTATATATGCAAAAATCAATTCTGAACAACTTTAATTAATAATTGAAGGTGGATCACGATAATAAAATCTTGCCCTATTTAGTATTATTTAGTGTCAAACTCTGTCTGAGTATTGTCCGAGTTGTCCGAGTGACAACACTGGTGCTAGGGGAGCTAGGTGCTATATATTACAGGTATGTTCTAAAGATGCAAAATTACCATTCTTGATGGATCGTAGATACTGTTTTTGATAGGTATAAAAAAAAATCGATTTGCATACTGTTCTTAATAGGGTTCTAAAAAAGGACCTCTAAAATACTATACTACTATAGAAAAGTATATAAAAAAAATTAGAATTAGGGTTCATTTTTAGAATCCTATCAAGAACAGTACTCAAATAAAATTTTTTTTACCCATCAAGATAAGTACCAACGATCCATCAAGAATGGTATTTTTGCTCTAAAGACACATTATAGAAAATTTTAGTTACGTGTTAATTAATATATAACGATGAAAAATCTGAATAACATATATAAAAAAAGACAAAATTATACTGAAAAGTGGTATATCTTTAAGCACAGGTATAAGGTTTGTGACGATCATTCATATCTATATTGTAAAACTTGTAAAAAAGTAGCGGATAGAATGTATAAGCAATGTGAATATGATAATTTTTTAAGGAAAGAAGCGATAAGTAAAAGCTTCACTTATTTCATTACAGTTTAAGTTCCTAACTCATCTAATATATCCTCGAACAATTAAATAAAAATAATAAAAATAAATTTCTGTCACATTTTATCTGTTATCGTGTAACAATACGTGATCTAAAGGGGAGATGTATGACTTAAGTCCTAAATAAACATGGATACTTCTGCACCTACCATTGAACAAATAAAAAAATTAGATACTACCGACAGTTTGATTAAATGTTTAAGTGAACACATAAATCTAACAGAAAAAACTTTACAAGTTCTTCATAATGAAGAAGTTAATAGTTCATCCTTGCTTCAGTTGAGTCAAGAAGATCTTAAAGAATGGGGAGTACCAGGTGAGCTAGCAAAAAATATCATGGGCTTAATTAATAAAATCAAAGCTGAAAACCAGGGTAAGTAGTACCACGACTGCATTCGAATATTCCAAACCTATACTGCTTTCTCCGCAATAATTTCATTTATTAACTTGTGATTTCATGTGTAATAAATATCTACAGACATACTGAGTCCTCGGGAGCAAAAAATGTTGAATGAGTTGTTAGATCTGCGAGCGAAGCTTGGAATCTCATAAGAAAATCTGGTCATAACGTGCAAACTGTTATTGGTGAAGTGCTTCTGGTATAACTTTTTTTTACAATGCAGATCTTCATCAGCTACTAAGCAACGTTTTTCTGACTTGGATAACTATGAAAAAGGCTAGTTGTATAAAGTGTGCCTGCTCCTGCAAAACATTGTTGTCTCGTCTAACCTTTACTATTCTTTACAGAACAACAAGAAAATGTAAAGAAGATTCAGAGTTATCCTGCTCTGTCAACTTTTGCACTTCTTAACAATTTTATAGATTATCAAACTAAGGACCAGTAGTTACTTATTTACCGCTCTTCAGAATGTGTTGGTCTACCGGTACGAGTTTACCATAATGTTTTCAATCAGTTCTTGTGTGATTACCATAATGAAGAGCTAGAAATGAAAAAGAACATTATCACTGGACCCTTGAGTTCATTCATGAAATGGCAAAAATATACCAAAGCGAACCTGAACGTCAGCAAGTATTTAATGAAAAAATTCGTGAACTATTCGGTGAAGAATTAAGAGTGATTCATCTAGATGATAATTCTTCAAATGATAGAGTATTGGAATGTAACGTCTGTTCAAAAAGTGTGTTACACCTTGTTGTGATAAAAAATGAAATTGGCACTGGTGGCTATAATCCAACTGTCCAGACCGAGGCTTTTTATGCAAAACATTATACCCAAAAGAAAAATGGGGAAATGCTTCAATGGTGCAACTGGCTATCTTTTTTTTTATGCCTGGTCGGACCTTGGGTATGTATTTTAGAAGCCGTATATGTTGAGAAACCTATTATAGATCCTTTAACAGACTTCATTCCTCTCATTCCTACAAACGATCGAGCCCACACAGAGCGAGTGGCATGGCTTTTCAAAGCCTTGCACTTGGGAGTTAATAGATTAACAGAGTATTATGGATCACTAGATGTGTATATGGATTCACAAAATTCACAACAATTTTTATCCTATTCGAATCAATACAAACAACAAGATACAATCGTGGAATTTACATATGAGAGAAAACTTGTGGATCAGCCCAACAAGCTTCTTTGGAAAGCTATAACAAAAGATAGATAGAAAATTATTGTTAAATTCACATGGCATTACAATCAAAGGGCATACGAACTGTGTAGCGAAATTGGAAAGGCGCCAAAATTTCTCTACATTAGCAAAGAGGTGGTGGATAGATTTTACATAGTAGTTATAGATTACATTGAGGCCAAGCAACTTTACAAGTGCGACTCACTTAGTCATGATAAATATAAAGCAATTTTCAAGAATATCAAAGAAGCTATCAATAAACTGCATGAGGAAAATATTGTCTTTGCTGACCTCCGTGATTTCAACATTTTGGTTTACAGATCTCAAGACCGGTATCAAGGAATATTAATAGATTTCGATTGGGCTGGTAAAGAAGAAATCATGCATTATCCATCTTTTATAAATCATAAACATATTAATTAGCCACTGGGGGCTGAAGATAGGAAGAAGCTGAGCCGTAAACACGATATTTATTGGTTGGAGTTGTTGAAATCTAAATACTTAGGTGAGAATATAGAGCTTGAATGATTAGTTAGCATGGTATTTGAGGATAAAGTAGAAAACAATTATATATAACAAGCTGTGCATGTATTCAGTATAATTTGGTTTGGTAATATAACAATAAACGAATCCTCGAGTTAATCATATTCGTATATTTTGACAATATTCCTATCTCCCTTGATTTTGTTTATGAGAATTAGAATATTACCTGCTCCATTGATTATGGATTTCGGCCAAAAATTTTAATTTTTGATTTATTATAGAATTCATTTTGTGAGGATAGAAATTATTTGGGTCAGGTAATTTTAATTTACTATACATATTTATTATTTGAACACGTTTATGCATATCTCCATAAAAGTATATTCTCCGTATCAAAGAAATGCCCTTATGATTGAGAGTTATTTTTAACGATACTAGCAAGTCGATAAAATTTATAGTAAATTTTCAGCAATAATTGAGATAAAATTTATGCGTTTTATTTTTTTGATGTACAGATAAAGCTGGTCTCAGCGGCTGGTTTTGCATACATAATCAATCTACTTTGTATATGTTTTTCATGTTATTTATTTATTGTATTGATATCGATGTACATTACTCACATATGTTTGAGAATTTTTAAAATTTTTTTTAGCGTTTTACACTTATTGGATTTAATCTAATGATTTTATCATGTGACTGACTCAGTCAGTAAAGATAACGAAAATGACTAGTTTTCCTAATACTATTCTTGAGATCACAATTGAATGATATATTTTTTATATTATCTACTACAGTCTACTTTTTCTATAACGAACCCTCGGTTCTGGCCAAAAAAAAAGTTCATTATATAGAATTACTATGTTTTCTTAATAGTCGTAGCTCTTGTTATACTGAACTAATATTAAAATTTAGAAAATTTGGGTTCATTATATCTAGAGTTCATTATAAAAAGGTTTGTTATATCCAGAGTTGACTGTATATTAATATTTTTTCTTGGCAAAAGTGTCAATGTGAAATAAAAATCTAAGTATATTAATAAAAAATTTTTTTCTTGCCAATTTTCCGAGACCGCGCAGTCCTGCAAATTTTTATTGCAGAATGAATGGTTGCCGATATAATGACATATCTTTTTATATACTAACAGACTATTGAATATTTTATATCTTATATAAAAATACCATCCATCATGACAAACACTCAATCCAACAATTCATTAAGGGAATTAAATGCCAAGCTCTTGGCTGAGATTTGTGAGCTTAGGAAGAAGGTTGCTGAGGACAGTGATGGCACATTGTCATTTAAAAATAAATGACACCTTGTTAATGACAAGTCATTTTTGTCATAAAAAAATCATTTATTTTTTTATAACTATACTTGTCATTTATGGTTTATATAATTTTTATTAACCAATAAGATAAATAAGCCATATATTATTCATTCAACTTTGTCAGTCTTCAATGGTTTGCACCAACTTAATATTTAGTCTCTAGGTACAAATAATAGTCAGTACTTTATAGTATGCTATTTAAATTTTCACCTCTTGAAAGATGACGATTCTTACGCTAATAGTATATAATTTCATATTTATTAATGACATTAATAAAGATAATAAATTAAATAGTTCTTTAGTTTTTTAATTATACTTGAATCGATCTTTTGTTTATTATTATATTTGAATCAGCTTTTTTTTTTTTTTTTATTCATTAAACCCATTATCAAATGACGAGTTAAATTTATATATATATATTTTATAATATATAACAATTGTAATAGAGAATTTGCAGATTTCTCAATATCTCATATAATAGAAATTCACAATCTGCGTCTTCCTCAAGTTTATACACAAGAAATAGAGAGTGAGAATAGCAATGTGAACTTTAGCTAATCATCAGTGTACCGTGAATGTCAAATAATTAAATAATCATTTTAACAGCTGCGCAACGTTGTCATGCTAAACCAGGAACAGATGACAACTTCAATACAGAATGGTTATGTAAGTCATATTTTTGAATTCAGATAAATAAATATCGGGTATAAACAAAATACAGCATAACTATATTGATATGAGACACTATAATTTAAACAAACAAAAAATTTCATAAAATTGTTAAATATATATAGTATAAAGTGTAAAATACCTCTTCAAAAACATATTATAACAATACACTACAATTTTCCAATACTTAGCCTTAATAATACATAACGCCGGAACAGATATTAAAAATAGGGTATTTCACACCTTATACCGTACGGATCCATTTATAATAATCTGCATAATTTAGAACAGGTGATAATTATATAGACTAACACAAGTTAAACCAATGAATATCAGGTACATGCTGGGAGACAAGTTTCCTGGTATGTACCTGAGTATCAGGAAGGTAGATTGATATCAGTAACATAATAGCGCAATATTAGAATACCCAGATATCTTACTCTTAACACTATGGGTCTAAAAGTAAGTTTTCGGGATATCCCAATATTTTGCTGATATCGATCTACCTCTGATGTCAATATGCTGCCAAAATGCTGATACAGCAAGTATTTGGCGGATCTATGGCAGACTATAAATAACGTTTCGATCGAATTTTTTGAACATATTTACTTAGCTTTATTATTTCCAATCACCTTTGGACTTAAGAAAAGAATAAAAAAAGATCGGAATTCATCGATACAATTTTTTTTAAACATAAATTTATTGCATGTTTAATAGTCAAAAAAAAACATGTAAAATGAACTATGACTATTACATACTCATAAAAAATAATTCAATTATTTTCACTCAATTATTACAGTTTTTTTGATTAATGCTATCATTATGATTAGTATCTCATCATAAGGTCCTGCCTCATTTGCCAATGCCAATCGATACATATCCCTCTCCTCCGTTAATTGTTTAATTTCTTTTTCGTGGCGTTCTCTCTCATATGCCAGCTCCAGGCACTTAATCAGATTTTCGTTCTCCAGTTTCCCTATATACGCCGCTTGTTCCTCTGCTTTCTGCTCTTTTGGGGTATCGTGCGACTTAGTTCCATTATTTTTTGACGACATCTATGTTGAAAAATAAAAAAAAGTTAATGTTCTTCATACACATAAATATATTGATAAACAAAAAAGAAAAAAAGTCCGTATAGTCAACACAGTCGACTTGAAAAAATAAGATAAAGTAGATTAAAGAACTGAAAATATTCATACTTTGATTTTTTTTTTTTTTTTTTTTTTTTAAAAAAAAGAAGATTAAATTCTTTGCAGCGCTGTTGTTGATATTGTTATTGAGATATAAAATTTAGGAGTTAGTTCTAGACTCCACGTTGCATCAAAATCTAAGAAATCATTTCTAAATTACCTTCTTAAAGGGAGAGTAGTTCGTTTTCGTTCAATAATTTTTTTTGTGCGTACGTAGAAACGTATATATATATATAAAAATTTCTCATACAGTGGTACAAAATATTGTACTGTGTATAAGTTACCGATTGTTCAAGGCAACACAACTAACCATGATTAAAATCAATATATCTTGAATGTATTTTGATTACTTCCTAAGAGGTTTCATCAAATATTGACATTAGTACGCGTATTGGTAAGATAAAAAATAAAATATTGATTAACTTCTTGGGAAGTAATTAATCACAATTCAAGATATTGATTTCATGGTTAGTAGTGTTACCTTGTGTATACAATATCAGATATTGACATTAGTCCGCATATAGAACAGTTTGTTTTTTTACTGTACGTACGTACGTATGTCGAAAAGCATTGCACGCATGAATCGGCCAGAAATAAACTTTATTTACATCTATTATCACAATTTGCCGAACGATTCGGTTAAGTTTGTGAATTCGGGAATGATAGATTCAATAAATTGATATCGATATATATGAGTGCTCCTAATAAATTAGATAGATTGCGTCCGGTACAAAATATAATTGGAATCCCGATAACGGGTTTTCTCTTGACGGCACTCATATATGGGACCCCCACAGCAAAAGGAGGGGATGGGCAAAAAAATTTGAAAATTTAATCAATCTGATTCTTCAAGATATTGAGTTTTTTTTAAAAAAAAAATTTTTTTGGCCCATCCCCTCCTTTTGCTGTGGGGGTCCCATATGTAATTTAAGATCAGGTTACTTTCAAAGCATTTTCGCTGGTAAATGGTTGAAAATAAAAAGGTTTATTGGATCTATTTTTAGAGGTGACTATAGTTGTTAGACGAAACTTAGAGTTAATACCGGATCCGGATCCTAATAATAAGATCCGGATCTAATCACAAGATCCGGATCCCGACAATAAGATCCGAATCTAATTATAAGATCTGGATCCTAATAATAATAAGATACGGGTTTCCATAATTCTGGAACATTTGAAAATTTGCTCGGTTACTAAGTCTTTTTGGCTTCATCCTAAAAATCACCAATTATTCGAAAACCATGTCGCTGTAAACTCGTATCTAATTATTAAAATCAGGATCTTATTATTAGGGTCCGGATCTTATTATTAGGGTCCGAATCTTATTATTAGGATCCGGATCTTATTATTAGGATCCGGATCTTATG